GCTGGTTTGATTCCCAGTCAGGGCACATGCCTGAGTTGCAGGCCATATCCCCAGTATGGGGTGTGCTAGAGGCAACCACACATTGATGTTTCTCTGTCTCTTTCTCCCCGCTTCCCCATCTCTCTAAAATAAATAAATAAAATCTTTTTAAAATAAAAAAAAAAAAAAAGAATTAGACAAATGCTTAGGGTCCAGTGACCCTTTAACCAGGGTAGGAACAGTGTTTCCAGATGAGAAGATAGCAAGGCCCTGATGTGGGAGCAGGGAGGAGGTCCCCATGTCAGGAATTATGTTCTGAACGGTGTTTTCAGGAGCCACCTGTGGCTGCCCCATGATTGGGGATGGGGAGACCAGGGAGGAGCCGGGAGCAGGTATCCAAGCAAGAGATGGTGGCCGTGGCCTGAACAGGCGGTGGTTAGGGTTGGGTAGAAGGGGATGGAAGATGAGAGAGAGGGGCAGCAAGGAAACCCCCAAAATTCTTGGCCTGAGCACTAGGAGGTTGGGGGCCAACGGGACCTCTAAATCTGACGCCTGAGGTGTTGAGCAGCAGGTGAAGGGGGCAGGTTGTAGCCGGATCTCCATATCTCCTCTGAGGTCACACACTCCCAGGCCTGCCTCGAGGCTCCCAGCCGCCCCTCCCTGATACTCCCAGCCCCTCTTCCCTCCAGGCCAAGACAAAGGGCCTGCAGAGTGGTGTGGACATCGGCATCAAGTACTCAGAAAAGCAGGAGCGGAACTTTGATGATGCTACCATGAAGGCGGGCCAGTGCGTCATTGGGCTGCAGGTGGGCACCAGGGCCCACTGGGGGTGAGGGGATTCCACTGTGACCCAGGCCCTGACCTGCCCAGTGGCCCCTCAACTTTGGGGCAGCCTGACCTCTCCTGCCCACCTCCCTGCAGATGGGCACTAACAAGTGTGCCAGCCAATCAGGCATGACAGCATATGGCACGAGAAGACATCTGTACGACCCCAAGAACCATATCCAGCCACCCATGGACCACTCAACCATCAGCCTCCAAATGGGTACCAACAAGTGTGCCAGCCAGGTGGGCTTCGCCCAGCCCCCCTCAGGCCCCTACCCCACCTAGCCAAAATCCTCGTTGTCCTTGTCAAGGACAACTCCACTCCGGGCTTCCCTCCTGCCTTCTCTCTCTGCCTCAGCTTGCTGTGTGTCGCCAGGGAAGTTTCCACCCAGCTCCGTGCCTCAGTTTCCCTCCAAGGGAAACTCCAAGGGATTGCTCCAAGGCCCATTGAACTCTGAAAGCTTTAGATCCTATGATTCTTACTTTTCCTGCTGTGTCACGTGTAGTGGTGTAAGGATGGTTTTGGAGCACTCGGGTTTTTGGGGGGCCTCAGCTCCAGCCTGGGAAGCTTCCTGGCTGGCAGGGAGAACAGGACCCAGGCAACCCTTGTTCCAAAGGAGAGGGTCACTAGTAATGAAATCAGCTCAGCAGCCTCAGAAAAGAGGGAGTCTAAGCCAGGCAGGAAGATGCATAGGAGTTTGCACTGAGACTGTAAGGAGAGATGGAGGCCAGGTGGGAGCTTGGGAGCCTGACATTTCCCCCTCATCCCTCCCACCCTGACACTATCTCCTCTTTCTTTAGGTGGGCATGACAGCTCCCGGGACCCGGAGGCACATCTATGACACCAAGTTGGGGACCGACAAGTGTGACAATTCCTCCATGTCTCTGCAGATGGGCTACACGCAGGGCGCCAACCAGAGTGGCCAGGTGTTCGGCTTGGGCCGGCAGATATACGACCCCAAGTACTGCCCACAAGGCCCAGTGGCCGACGGGGCTCCAGAGTCAGCAGGGGACTACCCAAGCCCAGGGAAGGCCCCAGAGTACCCTCCCTACTACCAAGAGGAGGCAGGTTACTGAGGCCCCTTTAGGGAGGTGCCTCCGTATGTCAGTACCCCGCCTGGCATTGCAGGTTTTTCTGTGTCTTCACCTTGTTTTCCTTTGTGTTCCAGTGCTTCCAGCTGAGGGGCTGTGAAGGCCAGACCCAGATGCTTGTGGGTTGGGGGGACCCTGCCAGGGCACATCCAGGTAGCAAATTTCCCAGCAGGCTTTGGGCCAAGCTATTAGGGGAAGAAGAAACCTGTGCAGGGAGGGAAACTGGCCCCAATGGCTTCCGGTTGCTTCTGTGCTTCTTCCCTTTTCTCTGCTGATCAGTTTGTGGTTTCTGTACCCACAGAAGTTTCAGGCACTTTTAACAAAACAAAAGTATTTTGGGGGGGGCGGGAGGAGAGATGGAGGGCAGGAGTCATGAGAAGAAAGTCCCCTGGGAGAGGGCCAGGCCAGTCCCCAGATATTTTAGGCATCATGAGAGACTGGATTTCTCCCGGACCCTCCCAGGAGCCCAGTGAGGAAACCAAGGTCCAGACAGGACAGTGGAGATCTGAGTGGTTGAGGCAAAACCAACCCCCCCCCTTCCATACTAGTCCCTTCTCCCCAGCGAAGTACTGCACAGGGATCCCCATCAGGAGGCCCTCTCTGGGACCAGCCCCACCCAGGAGCCCTGGGGACAAGAGATAATGTGAAATACCAACTGTGGACCAAAGGCAATAAAAACCTTTTTAGCAAAAGAGAGTGCTGGGAGAGATGGTGTCAGAGGCAGCCTCCGGAGGGGTTGGATCACTTCTGGGGTCCTGAGGGACCTGAAGGTGGGGCAACACGACAAATATCTGGTCCTCACAGCTGTCTTGGGAGAGGGAGAAGCTGAGGCCCAGGGCACAGACCAGTCTGGGGCGAAGAAGTTATTTGAGGGCCAGGATCTGGGATTGGGGAAGAGGTGGGGCCTCTGCAATCCCCCACCTGTCACACCAACAGCTGGGGCTCCACCCAGTGCTCATCATCCAGCCTCCAGGCCTCCATCCGGCCTGGAGTTCACTCCCTGACTGACTCGTAATTACCCCGCCAAGCCCAAACAGCAAAATCGCCTTCCTCCAGAGTCCTCCCCTGCACCACTCACCCTGCCCAGTGCCTTCAGAGCTGTGGATCCATACCCTTGTTTGGTCTTTAGGATCTTGTGAAACACCCATTTTAATGGAGCAGGAAATGTCTGGAATTTTCCTCAAAATTCAGGGTGAGCCCTGGCTGGCGCAGCCCAGTTGATTGAGCGTGGACTGCAATCCAAAGAGTCACTGGTTCGATTTTCAGTCAAGGCACATGCCTGGGTTGTGGGTCAGGTCCCCAGTGGGGGCCGTGTGAGAGGCAACCACACACTGATGTTTCTCTCCCCCTCCCCTCCTCTAAAAAATCTTTAAAAAAAAAGTCGGGGTGACCTTCAGGACCCAAGACTCTACTCTTAGAAGAGTGGAGGCTCCTCCCCCTTCTGCCATTACCTGTATCACTCTAGGGACCAAAGGTATTTTTCGTGTGCAGTGAATGATGAATAGGTGAACCCCCCTTTTCCTGATGGACAAATACAGTCTCAGTGTAATAGGAGTGAACCTAGCTAGGACTCGGATCCTCCAGGGGAAAGTGGGAAGAAAGGGACCTCTTGCAACCGGGAGCTACAGTATCATAGGCGGCTATCACTTGGGAAAAGAGCTGTGCTAGCCTGGGCGGAGCCCGGCTTGGGTGGAGCTAGCCTGCCGCCCCACCACCTTGTCATGCAGCAAGGAGGCAGGCAGCCCCTTTAAGAAAGCCGGTTTGGCGCGACTCTGCTGTGACCCCACCTACTTCCTCTGTGCGCGCGGCTCCGGCTGGCTCCAAGTTTGTGAGTGGCGGTACGGCGTCCAATAGCAGTTGGCAGAGACAGGGCCGGGCGCTGTGGGGGTGCAGAATGCGAGTGCAGTCGGCAGCAGGGGCTCAGCGCATGCTTGGAGATCTTTTCTTAAAGGGGCCGCTGTCAGATGGAGGAAAGGCGGCTAGTGCTGGGGGCTGTAATGGGGCAGGGTCCCAGAGAAAGACGAGAGCCCCAGGAGGATGCAAGTTTGGGAATGAGTGGGACAGAGGCAGTTTTCCTGGGAATTAGGGGGTGAGCGAGCTGGGTCCAGACTCTCACCTTTGCTCCCTGCGGGTGAGTATTGGGTGGGTGGCAGAATTGGCCACTAATTTTCAAGGGCGAGTTTGGACTCACCTGAGAGGGGCCTTGCCAGGGTACACCTGCAGCCCCTTTCCTCGTTTGAACCCCTCCAAAACCTGCCCCAGTTTTACGAATGGAGAAACTGAGGCCTCTCCCCAGGTCCCACTTCATGTAAAGGAGAATTCTGGAGTGGAGGTCGGGGGTCCAGAGTCTCCTTTTGTGAGTGTGGCAACTCCCTGTTCCTCTGGTGGCCTCAGTTTCCCCATCTGTACAATAGTTTAGTAGGTCACAGCTGAACAATTACAAGCAAGGGACAGGGTCAGGAATCACTGGTTCCAGGAACCTCCATCACTGTCCCTTCTCCTAACCTATTTTCTGGATCTTGGGGGGGCCTTCTGATTGGTAAATAATAACTAACAGTTAGGGAGAACTGAGGTCCAACCTCCTGCTGGATGACTGCCTGTCTCTTTGGGCTCCTTGGTTGGCCCCTCTTCCAACCAGGCATTTAAAATGTTTAGCACAGTTAATACTTTGCTATTATTATTGGGGAAGAGCAGTGATGAGGGGAAAGGAAGATCCTTTCCTCAGCCTGGGATGAGGGAGGGGACGGGGTCAGGAGGCCCCCAAGAGGGCTTAGAGTAAAGCCTGCTGATAAAAGAATTAAGCTAAGGCCACCCCCCCAAAAAAAAATTTTGTTGCTAGCCTTTCCACCGCATTAAATGGAGCCCGGCATCCAATCAGATCCAAGGGATTCAAGGACAGCTTTAGGAAGGGGAAGGGCTCCCATTGGCTTACTGCACCATGAGTAAGCACTGTAAGTGCCTACAGTTATGCTCTAAGCAAAGTGTTCAGGAATTCTGAGCAATGGGATAAGGGAATGAAGTTCAGAGAGGGACTGGGAGTTACCCGCAGCTGCACAGCACTTTCTCAGCCTGGCCCCTCCGCACTGTCTCCTGTCTATTCCAAAATGGCCTTCTGGGTGCAGCTGATGCTGCTACTTTGGAACAATTTCCTGCATCATAGGAGACGGCCGGTAAATGCCTGGGTTTTTGGGACAGGGTGGGCCTGGCCCAGGCACACCCCCCATGCCAACTCTTCGCCACTATCCTGCTTGTCTCTTCCAAATCCAGCTCCCTGTGGAGTTGTGCGGCCTCTCTCCATCCTGGTGGCCATCAGCCCATTCACACCACCCTGCATTGGGGCAGTATGAAAGTAAGCCCCTGCAGGGTCCAGGTACTTTCTGTGGCTGGGGAGGCCTTCACCCTATCCACCCTATCCAGTGAGCAAATGCCAGACAGCACAGTCCCCAGCATCCAATAAATGGCTGAGAGTGGGCAGAGGGTGGACTCACGGTGAAGACTGTCAGGGCCTGCAACAACTGGCATCCCTGCAGGCCATTTTCTCAATGAGCCACTGCCCTCTTCGGGCACCATACCCTGGCTCCAGGATCTCATCTGCAAAGTGAACAACACCGGCGGCCCACAGAGCATGCCCAGTGAGGAGCCAGGCACCCTCAGCACCTTTAACTACTCTTTGCAAGCAAGCACTGCTGGGGATTCGGGGGTTCACAGTGAGCCCTTGCCTCCTACTCTCTCTCTGTCTGCAGAGTCTCCTGGCTCCTGGCAGAGGCCATGTTAAGAATAGAGGCTCAGAGAAACAACAGTTAATTATGCCCGACAGACTTAAGGAAAGAGGCAGCTAGCCCTGGTAAAGAGATCCTAAAAGGGGCTTTTTTTGTCCTTCAGTTTCCCAATTTGGGAAGTGGGGTGGTGGGTGTGGAGGCATGGCCTCGTGGCACCTCCAATCCAGGCCCTGCCTGTACTAAGCTGAGAGGGGTCCTGGACCCGCACCCACTGTCCCACCCCCTCTGGAGGTGCCCGAAGCCACTGGTCCTGGGGAAACTGCTGTTTGCACCTGACCCACTCCTCACTCGGCAGCTCACGGCATAGGTGAGGGTGGGAGGAGTCCCCAGACTCTAGTCCCTCCCTCAGCTCAGGGGGTGAGGGCCAGGTGAAGGCTCTGAGAGGCCCGTGCCATTGCTCAGAGGCACAGGATGGAACAAAGTGGAGGATAAAGAAGTGGATGGGGGTCCACAGAAGAGGGTTGAGCCTGGCATTGATCTGGGTTCCTGTCTCCACCAGGTGAGCCAAACCTTCCAGGACCTGGCCCTGTTGAAGGATATCCAGGAGGTGTCGGGGGTGCTGGGACCCCAGCTCTTCAACTTCATGAATGACAGTGCAAATGTAGTCATACTGCAGGTGGGCCCAGGGTGGAGGGCTGCAGATTTACCCAGAGCCCCCCTGGCCACCTTACCCCCCTGCTGAGAAGTAGGGCAAAGGGCAGGTCAGAGCCTCCTGGACAAGAGTGTGGAGGTAAGATGTGGCCTCCACATTAAGGACAGGCCCCAGGGATGGGAAGAGGGGTGACAAGGCAATAAATGACCCATACAGACCCCTACTTCCTCCTCCCATTCCTCAGAGGAACCGTTCCTCCCATCCAGTTCCTTTGGTCCTGCAAATTCGGGACAAAAAGGTAGCCAGGACCCAGAGGCCAGCACCAGGTGGAGGCCCTTAGAGCCTTTCTGGACCCCCACAGTGGCAGCTGTAGCTGGCACGAGGCCTGTGCAGATATGGAACATCTGATGGGAAAACTGGCTGTTCTGTGGAGGTGAGGGGCCTTCCAGTTGGGAATCTTTTGAGTGGAGATACAGCCTGTCCTGTGGGAGGTCTGCTGGAGGAGAGAACCCTGCCCTAGGGCTCTTAGGCTCCTAAGTTTGACTCAGCCCCGAGGTCCAGGATGGTACTGGGGCACCTCTGACTCTCCCCAGTGCATAGCCCTAGACAAGCTGGAGGCAGCCCTGGTAAAGCCGGCTCTGTAGCTGCTTGCCCAGCATGGCTTCTGGGCAGGCATCACCTTCCTGGACCCCAAGGCTTCCCTGCACCCAGAGCATCTCCCAGGCCCAAGCCACCTACATGTCAAGATCCGTAAGGACGATGACAATGTGATCAGAAGCAGTAAGACCAGGGACAGGTGGGAGTGTGGCCACTTGGTGGCAAGGCCAGGAGAGTGAATGGGTGAGGTCAGGACATCCTGTTAATGAAGACCAGCAGGCAGAGCCTGATTGATTCCTTAGACTAATTAGGGCCTGTAGCAGGTGGGGCCTAGGTTGCCTAAGGGGCCTGCTCAAGGGCTTGATGGATGAGCTCAACACTTTGGCTTCCCTGGCAAGTGGGCGTGGGTGTGAGAGGGTTGTGTGGCGGGCCTGTCCTGTCCAGGCCTGTGGTTGAGCCTGTGGGTGAGGATGGAGCTCAGACTGTGATGGACAGGGCCTTGGAGTTTCCAGCTGGTTCCTGAAGTGGACCTTCATGCCCACACAGGTTTTAGGACCCAGCCTGGCCACTGACCCCCCTGACAGATCTGCACGGTGTGCAGGGTGATTTCGGGTACCTGCAGCACCTGCTGGAGCATGCAGCGGTGAGTGTGATTAGCGGCAATGTGTCTCTCGCCAGCTTCTATCTGCAGCAGGTGCCCTACACTTGCTACGTGAATAACACGTGAGCGCCACCTCCCCACTCATTCCCCTAGCTGCAAATCCCAGGTCTTGGGTGGGACCTGGATTCCATTTGGAACATTCATGCAGTCAAGACTGTGAATGGCTGGTTTAGGTGGGTTCAGGTTACCCCTGTGGCCTATTGAGGGAAGATATGAGGTCTCCTGTGTGGCTCCTGTGTCACTATCCTGGATGAGCCAGCAGCTGGTGTGGACCCCGTTTCCTGTCACAATATGTGGGAGCTGCTGCTCGAATACCAGGAAGGTAAGAGTTGGGGGCAGCCTGGGGTTCTCCTGGACGCTCCTTGAGGGGCCAGAAAAAAGTTTCTGACATGGAGAAAAGGTTTCTAATGATTAAATGCTGGGAATGGGGTTGTGAGGAATGAATAGGAGTTTGTCACATGGGGCAGGCAATTCCTGGCTGAGGCCACAGCTTAGGCAAAGATCCGGCAGCCTGATGATACATGCGTGTTGGGATCCTATGCCCAGGGTACATACTGGCCCTTTTCCGTGCACTTGGATGAGGCGGAGCTGTTGGGAGACCGTGGGGCAGTGGTGACAGGTGGTCACTTATGCTGCTGTGGCTCCCCACTCTTCCTGCCTCATCACTTGGGATCTGGCTACTACCAGATGCTGGAGAAGGGTCTCCAGTCCCTGGCCACCAGCACAAGAGGAGGTCTGGAGCCTCTGACCCCCGATTTCTCTGTCCAGCTCTGATGGCCATGTCAGTTGGTGCCACTCTGCCTGCAGGGTGACACTGACTTGGAGGAAAGGGAACCAGGCAGCCAGAGTGGCAGGGCAAGTGAGGGCTGGAGTGGAAGAGCCAAAGGAAGGGGTCAGCGGGTAGCAGTGGCTTGGTTCAGGGCGACAGGGCTTCACGACTCCAGACTACACTCCTGACCCTGGGCTGAGCCCAGACAGAAACCTGCTCCTGACCTCTGACCCTGGGTGGACTCCAGCTCTAATCCCAGGCCAAGTTCTGTCCTCTGGTACTTAACCCTAACCTCCTCTGTCCACAGGGACAGGCCCCTTGTGAGTCACCCAACCCTTTCCCCAGGGAGGCCGGGCTGAGAGGGGTGAGGCAGGAGCCAGGGCCACATGACCCACCCCTGGCCATCCGATACAGCCCAGCTGCTGGCTGGGGTGCAGCACTACATGCCTGGGGCACGGCTTGCCTAGGAGTGGGTGCGTGAGCTGGTGCTCGTCCTGCCCTGTGAGGGTACCCTGGGGGGCAGACAAGCTGGACTTGTGACTGAGGAAGCTGGGGCTGGCTGACTGCGTGATTTCTGACACCAGCCTCAATGAGGTGTGGATGTTGAGGGAGGACTGCCTGGAGGAAGTGGTGCTTGGAAGGAGAAGGAGTCTGCTTATCTACAGCAGGGCACCCCAGGGAGGAGGCCGTGTGGTTAGAGGCTCGGAGGCCCTTGGAGAGGCCTAGGCGGGAGGATCTGGAGTCCCTGGCTCCCTCTTGTGGGTCCCCAGGCTTTGAGCCCCCTGCTCTGTCTCTCCAAGCCTTCCCGAAGGTGCTAGAAGACTGTGCTGTGGACACAGACCCAGAGGGTACGGCCGCAGGTCTCTGACCTTTGCCCCTAACCCTGGTCCAGAGTTGGACCTCACTTTTTACCAAGTCCCAATTTTTGGCTGAGTCTGGCCCAAGGCTTTGCCCTGACTTTGGTCTCTGACTCTTGATCCCCTTCATTTGTGCCTTTTGACCCCAGGCTGAGAACTAACCCCTGACACTGACCCCTGGTGGCCCCACAAATGGTAACCATAGACAACACCTGTGCGTAGGCGTAGGCGTTATTCACCTGAACATAACCATGGGGCTCAGGATTCTGCCAGAGGGGTCAGCCCTGGAGGACTGGGAGCTGCATGAGTTGCCCCACCCTGGCCCTGTAACCCTCTGGCCCTCCCAGTCCCCCCATTGTGAGCATTGACCCTTCCATTTCTCAAAGCTGGGGCTGCCCCAGATACACAGGCCCTGTGGGGCTCTGGGCTGGATGTTGTGGGCCAGGTACAGGGATGGACACTGACTTGCCAGTGGCTCTGGGCCCTGCTTTTCAACCGCTTTTTGTTTGCTTCACTGCGGCCTAATTCAACTGCTTGACCCTAGGCATACCCTCCATCCTGCACACCTTTATTGAAAGCACTGGGGAGCCATGGATAATTGTAGAGTGGGAGCAAGGAAGAAAGGCTGTGATGAGCCTGGAGGTTAGGTGGGGAGAGCAGATGATGGCCAGTCCTTCGGATCCTGCTGCCCACCCTATGTGTGGGCCTGGCACTGGTATTCAGCTTCATTGTGCCTCCCTTTGGGCACTACCCAGCTCTGTATCCCAGCATATACAGTACCCAGGTAGCCTTCTTCGGGTGTGTGCAGGGGAGAAGGGCTGGTGGCAAGAGGACCAGCGGCCCATGGGCACAGCCCTGACCTTGCACCCCACACAGTGAGATGCCCCAGAGGACCCCAAATGTGTCCACCTGCTGCAGGCGCTGCTGGAGGAGCTGGGATCGGAGAACCACTACTTGCAGAATAGCCCCCATAGGTGAGTCCCTTAGGCTGGCCATGACCCTTCTCTTCCCTAACCGGGTTCTGGCCGCTGGACCTCAGGGATTCTCAGAGCACCCTCCATGCCTGCTTGTGATCTGGGAGCCTCCACTTCCAGCCTCCCCACAAGCTGGGTGCCCACAGCCCTGCCCCGCTCCTGCAATGCACGCAAGTGCATGCAGCTCATCACCTGCCAGTTGGGAACTTCAGACGTGGCCGAAGTCTTGGCCAGTGGAAACCGGGCCCTGGAGTCTGCATTCCCTGCCTGCCAGTGCAGCTGGGCTGGCACCCGCCACCTGCTTCCCAACTGCCCCACTACCCCAGGCGCCAGCTGCCTCAGGTGAAACTGTATAGAACCCGACAGGCTGGACTCTGTCCGACTTCCTGGTCAAGACCTACCTGCACGTGGTGCGCCAGGGTTGAGTGCTAGTCGGGCTCCGTGTGTCTGGCTGCTCTATGGGTCCTCAGATGGAGGAGGTGGTCTGGCCCCCAGGGAGGTTGGGATGGCTGCCTGGGCTAGAGGCCTCCAGAGTGCCCTCCGTGCCTAACCCCTTTTGGTTTGTCTCACCAGACCCCCAGCATCTTGCCTTCTGTCTCACTCACGTCTCTGACTTTCTGTCTGCCTCTCTCACAGCCTGAGGGCCAAGAAATGAGTGAATGAGGTCAGGGGAGGGGGATCCCCTGCCTTGGGTTTCCTTCCACACCCCTCTGCCCACCCACTGGTGGGCTTTCCCACCCCGTCCTCCCTGGTCCTCAGTTACACCTCCCTGCCTCCACTGTCCCAAAGGTATGGGGGCTTCTCGGGGCGGGGGCAAGATGTGGGCCTGCCCTCGGGGCATGCAGTAGGGCACTTACAGGGAAAGCTCCGAGTGCTGCTGAGCTCCAAATCTGGCGGAGCCCTTGGCTGCATTCTGAACAACCTCACGGCATGGGCTCAGGGCCTGAATGCTCAGCACAGTGTCAAGGTGGGACCTGGGGGTAGTGGACAGGTGGCTGGTGGGAGCAGGGCTGACTTCACCACCCTTAACCCTCAGCCCTGACCCCACCCCAGACCTGGTTTAACAACCGGGCTGGCATGCCGTGGTGGCCTTTGTGAAAGAGCCAACAATGCACTCCTACCCGCCCGCCTGCCACCAGGCCCCGATTACTATGCCCACAGTATCCCCATGCTCAACCACCCTCTGAACCTCACCAAGGAGCAACTACCTGAGGCCACCCCATGAGTCTCTCTGCCTTGCATGTCCTCCCCCACCTCGGTCTCCCTGTTACTTTGGGTGGTAGGAGCTAGATTTGGATTCTGTACACTCTTGCTGTATAAATGGTGAATAGAAATGCCCCTGTCCACTTCCTAGGCCAGGGTAATGGGACACTGTCAGGCTCAGCAGGCTCCAGTCTCCCCTAGTGGTCCACATGTCCTCGTCACATCAGCCTTGTACAGCTTCTCCTTGCCAAATGACCCGGCCACCTTCATCCTGAAATGGCTTGAGCCATTTTTCCCACAGTGACCAGCTCTGTGGACCTTGGTCCCATCAATGGAATGCACAGCTCTGCCCTGAGCAGCTCATCCACTCCCGCCCCCAGGTTGGCCTCCTGGGTAGATGTACTTTTCTCCACCTGTGGGGTCTTCACCATGTCCTTCATCCCCACCAACTTGACTCTTGCCCTCATTGAGGAGCATGTCACCCAAGCCAAACAGCTTCAGTTCATGGGGGGCCTGCCCCCCACTCTCTACTGGCTCATCTACTTTCTCTGGGATATGGTACGGGAACTGCCCAGAGGGATGGGGTGCCCAGCCACTGCCACTTGCCACTTCCCCTTCTGGCCTCTTCCGGGCAGGGACTTGTCCAGGATGGCTGGGGTGAAGTTTTGGGGACTGTGGGACCTGGTGTTTTGCTCTCCAAAATGTAGGGAGGTCAGGATGGGTTACAGGGCTGAGGGTGGCAGCCCCCACCCCTGCACACTGATGGGGGTAACTGCCATTTGCTATGCAGCGTAACTGCTTGGTGTTAGCATGCATCATGGCGCTCATCTTGCTGGCCATTCAGCAGAGGGCGTACGTGGCCCTGTCAACCTGACTGCCCTCCTGCTTGTTACTACTGTACAGGAGAGGCCCCCAAATCCCTAGGGCCCATTCTTACTGACCACCCCACCGCCATTGCCACCACCACTGGTCCTGTCGAGGGGGATGGGAATCTGCAGTGGTCCCCAAGGACAGAAAGAGAATGTGGGGTCTGAGGTGACTCCAAGTGGGGTCTAAATAAATGGTATGTCAAGGTGGCCTTGAAAACTCATCTTGTCCCAGCTCACATTAATAGGGGTCTACAGTGCGGATTGTGGGAGAGGAGATCTGTATTCCTCTCAGGGCTTCTCAGCCCCCCTCTCTGAGTGGTTACAGGCAACCACTCAGTTGCCCCCGAGCTGCTCAGTCACGCCACTCACGTACCCAGCCGCCTCCTCCTGCTCCGTGCCCAGCATGGCCTATGAGGTGCTCCCCTGCTTCCACCTCTTTATTGGTATCAATGGCAGCATGGCTGCCTTCATGCTCTAACTAACTCGTCTCTGATCAGGTGGGACCCTGCAAGGCTGGGCCTTGGTCCCTGACCCACCTCCTGTCCCTTCCCCTGCGCAGAAGGGGCAGAAGGTGAGCCAGATCCTGAAACAAGTTTTTCTTATCTTTTCCCACTTCTGCTGGGGTTGGGTGGGGGCTTGTTCACACAGTGCAGAACGAGGCCATGGCTGATACTTTTGAGTGCTTTGGTGAGAACTTTCCTCCAGGTGGGGAGGTGCCAGCCAGGGGAAGGGACAAACAGCAGACCCTGGAAAGAGAACTGGAGGTTTTAGGGGGCCTCAAGTTTGGGTAAAGTTAGGTGCAGAAAAGCAGCCATAAATAGCTAATTCCCTCTGGGGTCATATCACAAGAAGTCTAAAGCCCTAAATAAGGGAGGTGGTGATACCACCACCTCCTTTTTCTGTATCAATTAGACCCCAGTTGAGTGGCCTATGCAGTTCTTGGTCTCTTAAGAACCCAAGGTGACTTAGATGGAGAGGGGCACAGAAACCAAGTCCCTCCAAGGGCCCATTCTCTCCTTCCTGCTTCCACAGGGCACAGGCAGTTCTAGTTGCCCCTGTGCAGGGAGGTGGTTGGTGAGAACCTCTTGGCCATGGTGGTACAGGGGCCCCTCTTCTCCTCTTCACATTTCTGCTACAGCACCGCACCCACCTCCTGCCACAATCAGTGGGGACCAGGGCAGGGTGGCAGGGGCTGGGGCCCAACTTTGGGCCCACTCGTACCTCTGTCCTTAGACCCAAACTGAGGCCACTGCACTCTCCAGAAAAGGAAGATGAGGGTGTGGTTTGTGAGTAGGAACGGGTGGTGGAAGGGGCCACCAGGGGGCCATGTCGGTGCTGCAGGACCTAGCCAAGGTGGGTGCTGAGCGCTGGATGGGGGCTCCCAGTGGCCCACCCACTCTTCTCAGGGTCCTGCACTCCTCCCAGATGTACCCCTGGCAGAAGACGCAGCTGTTGATCGCCAATGCCTGGGGAGCATCCCAGTGAGGTGAGCCAGGATAGAGGTCCTGGTGCAGCGGCAGTGAGAGGCTGCCCTACTGTGTGCCTACTGCCCTTTATTGAGCACCTACTGGTTTTCAACTTTTGAGTTCCTATTTTGAGCCAACAAAGTCTTATTAAGCATCTATTACATGCTTACATTTATTAAGCCCTAATATGTGTAATAAAGTATTAGTAAACTACTGAGGACAAACATATTTATTATTGAGCACCTGTTGGGTGCCCACACATGTGCCAGTAACCTTTATCAAGCACTGTGTGCTCTCTGACCTCTCCACCTTGGGCTGGCTGAGTACCTCCCATGTGGCAGGAAATATTCGGAAATCTCGCATCCCTATATGTAAGGGGCACTTGCTGTATATTGCCTCTGTAGGATACCCACTGTGTGCTGGCACTGGTTAAACCTGTACCATGTGCCAACAACCATTCATTACTAAGTGACAAGCTTCTGCCTCCCCACACATCCCTATATTCACCCCAGGGGGTTCCCTTGCCCACAGCATAACTCCCAGAAACTTAGAAATCCACCCAGAATCAGAACAAGGGGATCTGAGGCCTCGTGCAATGCCCCCTGTGGGGTGTCATCACAGTGTTTCAAGCTCCTGGGCACGAATAGAACAGGGAATGGATACAGCCATACTCAGGAGAGAAGGGGCAGGTGCAGTTTCATGTGGTGACTGGGACACATTGCCCAGTGGGGGTGAGGCCATAGTAACAGGCCACAAGTGGGGGGCCTCTGGGTGGGGGTGGAGCAGGCTTGGAGCCCTCACACCCACACATGAACAGGGTGGGCTCTGAGACACCCCCGTCCCTTAACAGAGTGGTCTGGGGTGGTAGGTAAGCCCTGAGACCCTGCTGTTTGCCCCAGCACACCCAAGGCCTAGCTAGTTCCCCGAACACCTTGTCACCAATCTGCAGCATGACTCAGGACCTGGCCGCAGCACTCTGTGACATGGGCTACTGTCCTTAGCCAGATGCCACCTTGGAGCTGCTGACCGGCCGGGTGCAGTTGGCAAGCAGTTTGCAAACCTAGAGCAGTTTGCATGCCTGCCTGGCATTCCTGAAGCCAAGACTGTCCAGGTGACCTGCTGCCCCTTTCTGCCCCAGGGGCTTCTGGATCCCAGCCCATGCTGGCTCTGGTTGGCGATGCCCGCAGCCCAGGCCTATGGCCACCTCTGTTCTCTGGGCCCCAGCCTGCCCTTTCCCAGGTCCTACACTCACAGGAGCCGCCATGCTTTCTACAGTTACCCAAGCTGCCCCTGCTTCTTCTCTCTGACCGTGGCTGTATCCATTCTCTCCATGAGACCACCTCTGGCCAAGGACTGAGTCTTGCTGCCCCTGGGCCAGGTCCCACTTTTCATTTGCTGTGGCCCTGCCCCCTTTGTTTACCTTCACCCCACCCTTACCCTAGCCCCTTCATTCCTGTCTTCTCTCT